CCCCAACCCCCCCCCCCCCACAATCAACAATAACAACAGAGTTGAAGGGCTTACTTACCCCATTGAAAGGAGTAAAACTTTTTCATAAAACACACTTGATGACTCTGAGTGCGCTAGACTGCATACATTCAAGAAATCACTTTTAACCAATTATATAAACGAAAAACAAGACCGTCGTGTTAAAAAATTGTCATATCATTTTGACCACGGACGGGTCTACTGTACTATTTCATTTATGGAAGAAGAGATCAAAACAAAATCAGTGTATAGAAAAACAAATCATCAAAAAATAGGGTATCATTTGAAATATGATTAATGGTATTAGTTAGATTGGCATATATATATTTTTATATATGTACATGTGTGTGTGTGTGTGTGAGAGTCAAATAGTTCAAAGTCAAGGTTGCTTGACGCACACACCTGAGAGCCCACAGCCGTAGGTATGAAGCCGTATTAGAGACTGCTCCAAGAACAAATTCAATGGTATGAATTAGTTGATGTATAAAAACTTCACTGAATTCAAAATCTTCATCCCCGTGCTTATGATCGTCCGTTTCTAATTCAAATGCATCATCGGTATTGTGAAGCAGATCGTAGGATTGACTTCCATGTCCATGTCTCTGAGAAAGCAAGAAAAGGCTTTAAACAAAGATATTCGCATATGCTGCATAACAAGAAAAAAGAAATCAAATCTAATATAATAAGTGGTATTCTGACATACTTCCTGGTATTGCTTCTTCAAAATGAATGGCTTCGGAAACAGCATCCATGGAACAGCAACCAGTGCAAGTAATAACAGCGAAATCTGGCAGTTTAAAAAGAGAAATATAAGAATAACGGGGTTATCCGTAATGATACTTTTAAATAGGGTCTAACTCATCCCTTAAAGGGTGAGGTTTACTTATCTGTTGAACTCACACCCAGTAGACAACTGATTTGGGATATTCAATAGATACCTTAAAATCCACAACTAATTTAATGCCAAAAGATAAGCAGAATCATCAAAACCTGAAGGTACTTTTGCCCGGCAAATAGTTGATTCTCTCCCAAGTCATCAGTAGGACTCAGAAACATGTATATCATAACATGGTAGAGATCAGCTTGAGAACCAGTGCACCATTTCACAATTATTAACAGTGAAAGGTAGCCAAAAAGGCTGTTTAAAAAAATTATCTGGGGAATAAATTGATGCCTGTAACAACAATGTTTAAGAAAATTATCTCGGGAATAAATTGATGCCTGAAACAACACAGCTTAAGAAAATCATCTGGGGAATAAATTGGACATCCAATGCTGAAAACACACAATTGAAGCATTATTATTATTTATTTAAATACTAAAATTAAAGAGTATGCACTAAAAATGGAAACGTATAATAATATCATAAAAAAATTGCATGTATGAAAGCGAAAGTTGTATACTCCCTCCGTATCCTTAAACTTTCCAACTTTTATTATAAAAAAATCGGAAAAGTGTGTGGTTGTTGTTTATATAGAAGAATGGGAAACTGGAAAATATTACAAAAGGGCAAAAAGGGAAAATGGAAAAAATCAATGGGACAAAGAGAATATTCAAAATAATATGATGCAGAATCGATGCTCAATATGATACGGAACAGAAGTTAAAGGGGAGAGTAAATAACTTGGTATGAAATAAACATAAACTATAGACAAGGAACTAAAATATTAAATATTCCAACATACCAGATATCTACGTCATTTCTAAAGAATTTTGCATTGAAGTAGCTGAGAATCATTCCAAGATTCATCTGACCTACACCTAGAAGAATTGACATCTTCATCTTCAAAGAGTTAAGAAAAGGCAATTCACTCCGGGAGCCATGCCACTTAGGATCCACGCCAAATGGATAGGTTTCATGGGCCTTAATTAAGCCAGTTGTAGTAGCATCCCTTCAACAAGTGATTCTACAATTAGGAACAAGTATGGGAAAAATAATACAAAATTTTTCACAATGCACTTGATATTCTGCTACTTACCTGCATGAGGGGTCATTACAAGCATAAGCTGAGCGCCCAAATATTTCAAAGGGTACAGAAAAAAATTCATTATAAATAAATCCAGTGTATATTGAGAACAAAGCCATCATCAGAATAACATATCGGGCACCAAAAGTCATGTCCATTATATCGCCAAGCTTCTGATACCGAAAAAATTGGAAAGAGAAAATGAATTTTATCAAAACTCTTATAGTTTCTGAAAATGAAAAGAAAAATTGACTCTAGGAAATATCTCATTAGATTTTAGCAAACTATTCTTGACAAACCAGAACAAAATTGTCACTTTTGTTAGTTCCGTATTCTTTCAATTTATTTTTTTTATTTCTAAATAAACCTAACTTGTCATGTTTCCCATCTAAAGTAACAAATAGCATCCATAGTCATGTTCAGTATAACAGTACTCTGTAGAGTGGAAGAAACATCAGGATCAGTACTGGAGGTGGAGTAGGTTTACTTGTGCTGAGATTCTTACCTGGCTAGAAAGTTTCTTCTCACAGAAAAGAAAATACATTGTTGCAAGAAGCAGACATATCCCGTGTCCCCAGTCTCCGAACATGACGGCAAATAGGAAGGGAAATGTCACAATTGTGAAAACACCTGGATTTGCTTCTTGATATTTTGCGACCCTATAAGAATAATGTATAAGATACTCTGATATAGCAAACTTACAATTGCATAGAGACAATGAGCATATTATTATGTGTAAATGTGTAATACTATACCATCTTGTTGTATGAATTCAGAGCATAAGGGCTCAAATTAGTCAAATATATAAGTATTACTTCCTCTGTCCCATTTCATTTGTCCCTTTAACTATTCATGTGGTCAAACCAACTCTTCTTTATTACCTAATGTTCTACAACACATTTTTATCATATTCGAATTAGATTGTAATGAACTTCTATCGAGCTCCGTAATCCAAAAAGCCTAGGGAGTGTGAGTTTTTAGTTTCAGTTACAAAACCTTCTAAAGAAACACTAATTACTAGGTTATTCCTTTTGGATAATTGGTAGTTACTACTTCTACTCAGCCCACCAGTTTCATCTGGTCGGCATCTTAACACTAAGCCTCAGGTTATGAAGTGGGCTTCAATATAATTAACTAAAATCAACATATGTAAAGCTTATTCAAACTACATGTAACAAATGTCATTCTAGGCATGGATAATCTGGACTGAAAGATTAACCTGAGCTATGAATGAAGGATAAGTAGTGGAATCAAACGAGCTTTCATCATTCTTCTCATTCAAATCTTCAAAAACCTCCTTGTGCTCTAAAAAAGTTCCATGCTCCACATCCTCATTCAATAAGTTGCCTGCCATAAAAGCAAGAGTTTCAACTGCAGGTCCTGTCACCAGGGCCTCTGAAGATGCACATTTGACAGCCAATTTCTTTAGTTTCAAGTATATTCGATTCGTGTCACTTAGGTGTGATACGGTACCTTCAGGCACATAATTTGTCTGGTTGTCACCCTTTAAAAAAAGATAATCATCAGATACCAACTCTCTGCTAGAGTCATGAGATTCGGCATAAGTGTTTTCTAGATCTGTCGGCTTAAACTTTCCAGTGTCCTCTCTCATGCCATCAAATGATAACCATGAGATCTGATCCTCCAGTTATTTTTATTATGTAGGTTGAAGCTACCAGGTGCAATTGCATGAGAAGACAATTTTGACATCAATTTGCTAGTTTGAGAATGATCAAGCTCAAACCAGAAATGATGAACCAATGAAGTTAATGAAGACAGAGGGTAGGGATCATTCTATGGATAGCTTTTCAAGGAGTATTGGTCTGACAACCGTTCCAAGCATAAGTGGTTTTAGGCTTTTTTTGAGCTTGTAATGTAGCTACTGATTGTTTAGACAATTTGTCAGTTCATGACTTTATATTATTGTACTCTAGCTTTGGGCATTACACAACATGCCCTTGTATCTTTCCATAATGTAATAAAACTATTTATTTAAGACAAATGTAATATGATAAAAAATTTGTAAGAAAATTAAATTGTCACAATTATAAACTATCACTAGTATTAGGTTTGTCACAATCAATTAATAATTGTAGCAATTAAAAGTTGCCACTAAATGTGAGTTTTTGTTACAGGATAATTTGTGGCAACATAAATTTGCTACTAAACATTAGCTTTTGTGGCAAACTATAATTTGTAGCAAGTAAAATTTGCCACTAAACATGAGCTTTTGTGGCAAAGTTTTATTAGTGGCAAATCATAATTTGCCACAAAAACTATACTTTTTGTGGCAAATTAAAATTTGCTGCAAATACCTTTTGTAACAGGGTATTTGTGGCAATCTTGTGGCAAATTCCAAAATTGCTACAAATTATTATTGTGGCTAATTTTATATGTTTTGTGGTAAAATTTGGTGCCACAAAAAGTCAATTTTTTTGTAGTGATAGGTGCCTGATAAATGAATTTGAGGTCACTGGATAAGTGCATTTAAACAACCATCCAACATTTAAGTGCCTCCAAAAACATCCCATGATCGTTTATGACTAAACTATCCACACATATGAATAATCCATCATGTCCATTATATGTGATGTTACTATTACTCACCCATATGCCTCAACAATATCTTGGAAAGCAGAAGTAAATTTGTTAGTACGGAAATAAGTGGGTGGTGATTCTGTGGTATGCAACACCTGGAACACAGTCCCAACTTGTGAGTTACAATCTAAAGCTGCCCGGTCCAATGCAGCTTGTACCTGCAAAGCCATGCCAAAAATCATTTAATCATCAATCTGAACTTAACCAAATAAAACTTCAAAATACATGCAGTGAGAACTGAAACCAAGCATCTGAACTGGGAGCACACTGGAAAATTATCATTCTATAACATCTGAGACTAATGAAAAGAAGAAAAAATAGTACATGACTTGTTGCAAACACAGGACACCAGCCCTCTCCTATAAGGCACTTTTTGGTCACATCAAGACTTAGCAAATTTAACGTGTGGTAGACGGATTTCTCCTTCTTCACCTTCATATATAAAATATAAACAATAGTTGTTAGCAACAAGTAACAACGACAACACAACAACAACAATAATCATAATACAACTGCTGATTTTAAATTATTTTGGCATATAGAAGCAAAAAATATGCTTTTTTGTATGCGTAACCACAGCTAAGAAACAACATCAACTAACCAGAAGGTTCCATTGTTGAAACTTGCAGCTGATAGTCTTTAAAAGCATTTCTTTATGCACCTGTCCAGCTTCTATAGTGGTTTTCAATTCTGAAAGTTTGACTGATACCTTAGCGACAATAAACACACATATTTTAAGCAACCACCTACTTCTTCGTAACAAAAAGATAAAATAAACATGAGTTTGCTTTTTCATCCTCCCAAAATTATCTTCTCATTTCTTTATAGGGAAAGAAGTGTGTTATCTTCCCATTTCCTTTTAAGGAAAACTATACGTTGATATTTTATCTTTGCTTTCTAAATAAATATCAACCACACAATGACACAATGTCATCTTATTAATAGGTGTGCCAAAAGAAACTATAGGAAGTTATATAAAGGAGTGAAGGACATGAGTAACATATAAAACAAGAACCTAGATCAATGCACTGAAGTTCCGAAACTAACCTTTTCTCCAGAAACAGGATCTGTAACAGCATCATCTACAGCAACTTGCTTTACAAACACATTTCCCATCGTGGCACGAAACAGAATCCTTTCAAATGCCATAGATTTTTCTCTTGCAACAAGGCCACTGACATATCCCAGCTTAACTTGCTTTGCTGGATCAACTGACATAGTCTGCGTATTTCCAAACAGTTCATATCAAAATGTAGAGAAGAAAAACATCACCTCTCAAGAAGACAACAAAGCAGATCAAACATTATTGTACCTGCTCCAATAGCAGAGGACTGTCAATCAATCCCTCAACAAGGTTGTACTCCTTGAACTCTATGTGCTGATCAGAAGCACTGCTTTGAGCTGAATGGAAAAACTCACTAGCCTGAAATGAGAAGGATAGAAATGGATAACATTTTAAGTGTACAAAACAAAGGGCACAACTAACAGCTAGTGGAACACACTGCCAAAAATGTGTATTTCATGGCTTTAGGCTTTTTACAGAATAAAATGGACACACCTTTTGCATAACAAGTTTATATTCTAGAAGTTCATTGTAAGAGCGCTCCAACTTTACACTGTTTGTATTCATCTCAACCAGCTCCGCTTCAAGATCTCCAAGTTTTAGCTGGCCACAAATCAATAAACTAGTTGACCCACCTGCCTTGTAAGTTGTAAGCATAGAATCTGATGTTGTATATTATTAAAACTGAGAAGGACCTCAGTCAATGAGTTAACTGTTGCAAAAATACTTAATGTTCTCAAGCAAAGCAGACCTCCAATTCGTCCAGGTTGAAATCACTGCTCGTTGCAGACCTTGATGAAGGTGAGATACAAGTTGTTGTCATTTGTTCCTTGAAAAAACGAAGTCGACGTGCCATTTCGCCACATCTCTTAATCTATTGGAGGAATATTTTTTGTTCAATATATAAGTACCACAAAATGGGACAGAGGGAATATATGTTGACTTGTTCATCCCACATCGGCAATGCAGCCTTATATTGTGCTGCTATTTAATAGCTTGGGTACCTCAACCTCTTGAGTTAACTTTTGGGGTTGAATTGGGCCCAAGTCTATTGTTTCAACATGGTATCAGAGTTAAGCCATTGATGTTGGGACTGCGCCCGCAGTAATCTGCGCCTCGTGTGAGGGGGGCGTGTTGACTTGTTCATCCCACATCGGCAATGCAGCCTTATATTGTGCTGCTATTTAATAGCTTGGGTACCTCAACCTCTTGAGTTAACTTTTAGGGTTGAATTGGGCCCAAGTCTATTATTTCAACAATATATAACAGAATTTGTTTTTATAATTTAACAAAAAATACAGCCAAAGTAATGCATGTGAGCAGTGCAATAATCAACATGTTGGAACAAATAAAGAATGGAGGAAGTAGTAGACATCAAATCTGTATGTGAGCAATGTGCATGAATGAAAAAATTGCAACAAACCTGGAGCGCGTAGGTCCTCTGGAATGGGCTCTTCTCAACATTGAGCTGCAGATTACAGCTACCATTAAATAAAGAGAACGTTAAAAGTGTCAAATCGGGATGCAGAACTACTAATTAAGTACGGAGCATAAAAAAATATCGTGGTAATAATTGCAAATTCCAGGAATCCAAAATTTTACTCTCCTAGAATTGCTTATAGCCTAGATACAAATAGGTTTTGGATAACATACAAATTTGTGTTTACCAGGGGCAAATGGAAAAGAAGATTTGAAGGATGTGTTTCACACTTCCATTGTCATCAACACAAAAAGCTTGAGTTATAGTCGGGTTACCCATTAGTCCGTATTTTACTGGCTTGCTCCGAAAATCTCACTCAAATCATTGACGAATGAAAAGACCAAATTTTAACCTCTTCATCGTGAAAACACAGCATCTATAAGTAGGCTCCTAAGACTGTCTAGTTCATGGCTGGCCTTTTAATCAAGAAACATACACCACATTTTGTAAAATAGCCTACTTGCTAAATACAGTATCCCATATTCTCTAAATTGCCCTTCTCTGAACTAGACCTCAACCCCCCTCCCAAATCATCAAAGCGTGAAATCAATGTACTAGTTATCAGTGATCATAATTTAGTTTTCAACGGAAAATGTAGTGAATTTGATGAAGCAATAAAAAATATGCGATAATGGGTTTGCAAATGCTAGCTACATTGACAGACAAATGCATCAACTGCGCCAATTGCATCGGCTCCGACCGCATCAAATCCATCGCCGGAAAACGCTCTCCGCCCTCCGCCATTTCCTTGTGGAAGCCGAATCTCACGATGTGGATGCACTCCGTTCAACCGACGTTCACCGAGAATTCTCAAGAAACATAGTCCGAGAAGCTTTGCCGAACAGTGGGGGGTTCTTTTTCCTCCGGCGACGATGGTTTTCGGGTGCCGCGGTCTCCCCGCGCAACTGAGATCTGTAATGGCCGTGTGATCGAGACTTGATATCAGAGCAACGTTTCAAAGAAATAATGTACGTTCGATCACTTTTTGAAAATAGTGACATTGGATTTTGAATTTTGTGTCGACTAGTGACATTGGCGTAGAATATTTCTTATCAAATATTTTAATTCTTGTATCAATCCCAATTTCAAAGTGTTGATTCGGTATGATATGATTGGGTCCAGAATTGGTTTTGGTATAAATCGGGATGCATATATACGTATCTAGTTTAACATTAGGATGTAACAAAACCTTTTATTTTTGAAAAATCCAAAATACATTTAAATAATTAAAGAAAGATAAAAATTTAAAAAATGAATAATTAAATACAAAAATACTTATGAAACTTAGTTTATATTTCACAAACTAAAAAAATGAATGATAATAAAATAATATTTTAAATCTTTTTTAATCTTTATATATTCATCTACAAACAATTAAAACTCGAATTAAAATATAATTTATACATAATGAAATTATGAAACTTAAACTCAATTTTGAAAATAGTTACAGTATTATTTTTATAATATATTACAGAGTAGTATATATGTTCGGTCTGAGATTTTCAGTATGAGAAATTACCTCGTACCTGATGATGTAAATTACTTGACCGGTCAAACTATACTAGACCGGGTCCCGAATAGTTGGCTTGATTCAGTAAAGTAAAGAAGGTAAAAACACTCGGAATGACCGGTAGGACTTTAGGTGGAACACCTGTAGCCCGAATTGTATTAAAACAAAGAATGCACGGTCACTTTTACAAGGGAGTTTAGAGAGAGTGAATTCGGGTCCCTTTCTCCGAGAATTACAAGAGGTATATATACTAGGCTAGGGGGGTAGGACCACGTGCGCCCACGTGGGGGCATGCTGCTGGCGTGGTGTGAGGTGACTGGCTCTGAGCTGCCTTGTCATCTTGCGAGGGGGGTTGCGCCCTTGTCGTGTTCTAGCTTGGAAATGTTCCTTCGGCATCTCTGCAATTCCAACCACTACAATCCAAGTCCTTTTGGATCCCCCCTGCCGACAATCTCCATCCTCTAAAAACTACATCGGTTGATCCCTGAAGGTTGGATTAATTGACTTCGGAATTGATTCCTGACGATGGAGTAAACTGACCGGTATACTATCCGAAGTATACCGGTCAACTTCATCGGTCAACCAGTCGTCCATCTGCCAACGATTCAGATCTCTCTCCTGAGTTTGACCCCCTTTGACCGGTCAACTATCCAGTCCTAACCTTTGACCGGTCTTGGGTGAAATACACCCATCAATAAGCCCTCCACTTCTCGCTTATGCAATTTTGTCATAATCGGGAAGTAAAAAATCTGAAACAGAGCTTTTAAATTCAAATTTTGGCTTTTCCCGCTCAAAATTTTTTGAATTCAAAAATTGAAAAGTGTCAGTTGTGACACGTGCCGAGGACTGAACGCGATCAGTCACGCGTCCCTTTGTCTCCCCGAGCGCAATGATGGCGCCGCCTGACGCGACGCGCTCTGGTGAAGCCACGTCGCTTCCCTCTCCATCTCTCCTTGCCTATATAAAGGCCTCCAACCCCATTCCTTCCTCCACTTCTTCGTGCGCATCTCTCGAGTTTCATCGGTCAAGCTCCTTCTCTCTAGCTTTCCAGCCCTCCGAGTCAAGTAAGCTTCCCTCTTTCTTCCTTAGTTTTTTCTTTCTTTTCTCTGTCTTTCTCCCCGGTCAATGTCTTCCCCTGATAGCCAGGATATTTCTGCCTCGGATGCCCGCGCATCCGAGGAATCCCTTTCCTCTTCTTCTTCGACCGGGTCATCTTCTCCCATCCCTCAACCCCGGTCGAATCCCAACCCTAGTATCCCTGAACCACAACCATTAAACCAGATGCCCGGTGACCTTTTTGCGGAGAGGGAGGAGCCGGTAAACGACGAACCGGCCCCCTACGACCCGGAAAAAGAGACCCGGGACCAGTGGGTGGAGAGGTTAGATGCAGCCGGTTACTCTCCCCTCCCCACCTCCTTCGTTATAGACATCTACCCCCATGTCTCCAAAATAGCCCTGAACAAGGCCCGTAGGAACCTCCCGGTGGGCTATGTTCTCGAATTCGACGAGAACTGGCCCAACATCATCGAACCTCACCGGGAGGATAGGATAGGTTTTCATATCGCTTCCTTAGAGAGCGGTATCGTTTTTCCCCTTCGCCCCCTCTTGGTTGAGTTGTGTCACTGCTTCGGGATCCTTCCCGGGCAGATAACGCCCAATGCTCACCGGTTGCTTAACGCTTTTGCTAACATCTGCACATCTCTCCACATCGACCCCTCCCTTCGCCTTTTCCTTTATATGTTTGAGGTTCGTCCCGGCAAACCGGGTTGCGAAGGTTTTGTCTATTTTAAGGGACGAAACAATCGTAAGTTCATCTCTGACCTTCCACAAAGCAACCGCTTGTGGAAGGAAAAATTTGTCTTCATAAAATTTCCTCCGCCCATCACTCCGTTGGCCGGCTTGAAGTGGAGTGACCATCTCCTCAAGCACCAGTTCACCGAACCGCCGGCCACCCCGGATCTAGAGGAGAGCCGGGAGCAGCTTCTCAAAGGGGACCCCAACACCGGTCAGATGTACCACTACGGGGGTTGGGTCTGGCGCGTCCAACCGGGTGACGAGGGTTCCTCCCGGGCCCATGAAGCAGCGGGGCGCGGGGGACCCTCCCCGGGCAACACTGCGGAGGCTGGAGGGCCAAGTCACCCAGGTATCCACTTATCTTCTTCTCTGCTTTCTTTCCCGATTAAACCGGTCATAGCCTGAATGCTTATAGTTTTTTGCTTGTTTTGTAGACATGAATTTCAGAGCCTACAACATGCCGAAGACAACTGGTGGATCTTCTGCTACCGGTCCTCATACCTCCAAGACATTTCCGGTACAGAAGGAAACCATAGACGTCCATTCGGAAGAGGAAAATCCTGAGACCGGGGGAGCTTCTCCGACCGGGAAGGAACCGACGAATTCTCCCCCCAACAAAGGAAAGGGGAAGAAGAGAGTGAAGCATACGGCCACCACTCACCCGTCGGCCAAGAAGAAAAGGGGAGAGAACACCCCGGCCGAAGAATCACTGGAGGAGCTCTGGGTCAAATTGACCCTCAAACTGAAAGGGGTAATGTATACCCGGTGCTTTCTTTTGTATTTGCCATTCGATTGTTGTACTAACCGGTGCGCTTTTCAATATGCAGATGGGTGAAATTAGGCTCGTCGCCTTGGAGCAACTTACTGAAGATTCCTCCTCCCAGTTAGCCCAGCTGGAAGAAAGGCTAAGAAGATCCGAGGCCCACAACCGGGAGCTTAAGGAGCTGACGGACCGGCAGCTGAATGAGATGGCCAACCTTTCAGCGATTGCCGAGGGAGCCAAGGCAGAGACCCTCCAGCTGAAGGAGGAGAACCTGAAGCTGATGGAGGACTTGGAATCCAAGGAGCGGGAGTTCCCCGGTAGGGCTAAGCAATGGATGGAGGACAACCTGGTGGAAGCTGCCCGGGTACTCACTTCTTCTGAGGAGAGGACAGTGGAGGGCTTCAATCTGCTATACCGGGAGGACCAAGGAAAAGAAATGATCACTCAAATCGGCTCCTACGGTTTTATGTCCGGCCAAAAACGGGACCGGGAGGCCACGCACGCTGTCCTTGCTGAACGTGACCCGGACTTTACTGCTGAATCATACGGCCTGGCCCCCATCCCAGAAGATGAGCCTGCACCTCCCTTCCCCTTGGAGTGAAATCTCCCGGGCTGTGCCCGGTTATCTTTTGTAAAACTCAAAACTCTGAAATTTCGCCCGGGTATGCCCGGTGTACTTGTAAACGATTAACTTTCTTGTTGTGTTTGAATGCAATGTTTAATTTCCGTACCGGTTAATCTTCCATTTCTGCTTCTTAATTGATATTTTGCCACATCATAGGATATTTTACCGGTGCACAAGTTAAGCCACTTTGACTAACTTGACCGGTTGAACTCCAAATTGTTTTCGGATGTCTCTAGGCTGAAAGGGAAACTTGAATAAACTTGACCGGTCGAACTCCAACTTTGACCTGTTTGACTCCAACTTGATGGTCAACCCGAGAATGCTTGACTGGTCGAACTTCATCTTGTTTTTTGAACACCTTCATCACGGTGGTCAACTTAAAAAGTTTGACCGGCTGAACTTTCCTTTGGCTTTTGGATACCTTCGTTCGATGAAGTAGAGTATGACCGGTACGTTCCCATCTCACGGTACGACCGGTCAACTGTTTTGCCTTGAAGAACTTCCAAAGTTCCGCTGTAACAATACCCAACCGGGGTATTCTCTCTTTTTTTTTTTGACCGGTAGGTTGTAGGTGGAACACCTGTAATCTAGTAATTTCTTGAAGTATCCTTAACCGGTAAGGATACTGGAGATTTAACCATGTTCGAATGGTTTCGAACCCTCTCCAAGGTTCAAATGCACCCTTCTTCCAGGGCCCCCTCTTCCAGGTGATTAAGTCTTTTAATGGCCCTTTGATTTCTACCATCCCGGGAAGGCCTTAGCTCACCCCCCGTTCAAGTCTTCCCTGAGAAGGGGGAAATAGGATGCGCCACGGTGGACGATCCCCTTCTATTTCTTTTAATGGGCATCTTTTAGTCCCCACTCAGTTTGACGGCGCCGGCTGATTCCCTGACACTGGTCAAACCTCATGGGCCCGTGTAAGTACGGTTCGAACCTTCTTCCAGGTCCAGCCCTCTTGCAGGCATACCCTCTTCCGGGCCCCTCTTCCGGGTTTTATATTTTTTCTATTATACTGAGCAAGACCGGTGTAGTAACCAGCGTGCCAGGTCCGGGCCTGTGTCTCAGTTGGCTTATCCGAGTGGATCCGATCCACCCGGGAAGCCCTCCTAGGATAGGTTCGACCTATCAATTCTGCTGCTACCATGTAGAGTATTGAATGTCATCGGTTTGATTGATAATAAAGTAGGCCTTGCCTAGTATTACAATCATTTGTAGAACTTGCGAAGATGATGGGAATTCCAGGTTCTTTCTACCGGTACACCTTCAAGAGTTTCTAACCGGTAGGTTCCCGGGCGAATGATAGCTCTCACCCGGTAG